TTTTTTTTTTTTTGCTATTAATTGTGGTGTTACGTAAATTTAAAACAACAAAACAACTAAAAGAAACTGATTCACCCCTTTTTCCGTTTACTATTTTCTCCGCTTTAGTTGTATTCAGTGATCAGTTTTATTGGGCTGATTGGGCTGACATTCTATTTTTTTTGTTCTGCTTTATTTTCCGGTTACTTTTAGTTGGTTACTATTTACTGATAATTGTCGTTGATCCGCGCTTTTTTCATATATTTTTAAAATTGTTGTCAGTTTTCTTCCTTCTCCTCTTTTTTTTTTCTCCTCCAATTTTTTCCTCATTTTTTCTTTCTTCTCTCGTTTTAGAACTATTTATGATATATATATATTTCTATACATATATATATTTTTTGCAGGGTTGAATAAAATAAAAACCGGGGGAAAAAAAGCGCAGTTTTGCGCTTTTCGATTTTTGAAGCTCTAAGCTTCGTGTTGTCATGCCACTTTTTTTTGGGAGCAGCAATAACAGTGTGAAGCCTCAGCATTTGTCTAATCGAAACGGTGAGTAATGCTTTTTGTTTTTTCTTGTTTTTTTTTTTTTTTTTATTTTGGTATTACCAAAACTGGTAATTATGGTATAACAGTATCAGAATTGTTCTTCATCAACAAATACCTTAATTTCTGTAAAAAAAATTTACTATTTTGGCGAATGACGCTTTTGCATAATATTTATTATAGCTAATGGATCTGTGGACCTTAAAGATTCGCGTGGAACAGTTGTAAAGTTACAGAAGTACACAGTCGTTATAGAAAAAAAGCTTGCAGAAGGTTTTGTTTTTTGTTGTTGTCAAACATTACTGTGGTGGTTTTCTTCACTATTTTTTAAAACTATTTTTGTTAGGTAAATCTGGTTTCCTAATTTCTTTTTCTTTTGATTTTCAGGAGGTTTCGCTATCATTTATCTTGTTGTTGACAAAAACAATCGGCAATATGCACTGAAGAGGCAATTTATTAGTGATGACCAAAGACAATTGGAAGCCTGTAAAAGAGAATGTTGTATTGTTGTAAGTTTCTAAATTTATAATTTTATAAAGCGTTTTGACACTTTTTTTGACGTAGGTAAAATCTTTTACCTTCAGTAACGGTTAGGTTTTGCGGTTGTTTCTGCTTAAGAAATTTAAGAAAATTTTTTATTTTACAGAGTTGTTTGCAAGGACATAAGAACATTGTGCGCTATGTAGATCATTTGATTTCCAGAAGTCGGTCTGGAATCTATGAGTACTCTTTGTTGACGGTGTACTACAAAAGTATATTTTCAATTTCTCTTTTTATACGCATAGCTTCAGAAAATTTCAAAAGATGTTTCTAAATATTCGTAACGGTGTGTATTTTTCTTTGTGGTTTTTTCAATTTTAGGAGAGTTTACGTTAGTTGTGAAGGGTAACACGCTTGATTGTACTTGTTGCATAAAGCTAGTTATTCTACCCTGATATCGTAAGGGAGACAGTTTTTAACTGCATTTGTTCTAGTATGGTCAGCTTTCAGGTAGTGTTCTGCAGTTGATGAATGAGCGTTTAATGTCTGGGCGTTGTTTATCTGCAAAAGAGATTCTTTCTATATTTTGCGACATGTGCGAAGCAGTTGCACGCTTACATCACTCTCAGACCCCAGTTATTCATCGAGATTTGAAGGTTTTCCTTGACTAACACATTCTAAGGATACTTTTCTATCTCACCTTAATGCATCAAGGACTCTGTTCCTGAGTTCTTTAAAATAGCTTTTAATGGAATAAGAATGCATGGTTTTTTGTTCACTATTTTTATTTTTAAGCATGAAATAATTTCATTCTATTTTACGGGTTTCATCGGAAGCATTTTTTGTTTTTGCTAAAATGTTTTCTAAAGACTTTGTGTTTTCTACTTGTTTTTCTCTTACTTTTAATTCTCTTTTCTATTCAGCATATTTTATCATGTAATTGATTTTGTTAATTAAGGTTGAGAATATATTAATTGACGATAGCGATCCCTTATCTCCTCCCAAATACGTTCTTTGCGATTTTGGCAGCGCGACTACAAAGGTTTTTTAGCTTTTTTGTTTAATTCTTACTGAATATAGAGTCTGGACCCTTTTTTAACACAGGATTGATCAGAAATTAAGGAAATGAGGTCTGAACAAGTTGCCGTCATCGGCACTTTTAAATCCTTTTTTTAATAGCATATCTGATAGTACTTTACTCGAAGGTGTAGGAGTACAAGCGTTTTTATGTCTGTACTAGTTTTTCTTCCCAAACCGCTTTTCTCAATTTCATTTCTAAGATTATTGGCTTAAAATTTTTGTGTCTGATATATTACTGAAGTGAAGTGAAGTCTTTTCTTTATTAAGGTGTTGTCTCTCGAAACTCATTCACGGCAGTTTATCGAGGATGAGATTCTGAGATATACGACGCTGAGTTACAGAGCTCCTGAAATGATTGACATTTATGCAGGTCGACCAATTGGTAACGCTTTTAGCTTTTCATAGTTTGTTATATCTGCTGATTAAACTAATTTTGTTTTAAATAGAAAATCTTGCCTGTTAGATATTTGGGGGTGACAAAGGTACTGAAATGGTTTTTCACTTTTTTTTTTCAGATTTATTTGTTCCTCTTTTTTCGCTACGAATTTTTAGAGTTTCATAACTAAAATTTCTTCTGTGAAGCCTGTAGTTTGAGATATATCTCTTTCTATATAGGGACTAAAAGTGATATTTGGGCTATGGGAGTATTATTGTACAAGTTATGCTATTTTACACTTCCGTTTGGCGAAAGTTCCCTAGCCATACAAAATTGTTCCTACGCGTTTCCGAATGAACCGGAATACCCCGATGAGTTGCGCGCCATTATAAGTTTGTGTTTCGCTTCGGTAGTTTTGTGTAGTATATTCCAATTTATTAATTCATTTAAAGTACATCAGGATAAAGACAAAATGTTTCTTACAATTTTTTGAAGTTTTAAGTTCTTTGTAATTCCGATATATCCCTTGTTCTTGATGAGGTTCACAATTTTAAGAATTACTGTTACAACCGGACATTGACAAGCGTCCAGATATATACCAAGTGTGTTGTTTAGCATTTGAAGCTGCTGGCAGGACAGCTCATGCTGGGAATTTGAACGTAATGGTTTTTCAAGTATTTGGGGAAGTGCTTTTAAGCAATAAATTAGGTATAAGCTGCCTCATTTGTCTAAGTTTGCAGAAGGTGCGCCGAATCCCATTGTCGGAGGCGCTTCAGTTGCTCAGAAATGATACCAGTTCAGTTTTTCCTACTTTACAGCAAGGAATTTCAAAGAGCGAGGCAAAAGCGGTTAGTTCTTAAACTTTCTAGCACTTATCAGAGTAAATTTTGTTTTGGATTGAAGTCTCTCAGCATTTTCAATTTTCGTTAACTCTTCTTCCCCAGCATTGCAGAGTTCAGATGAAAATGCGTACAACACTGGAGTTTCAACGACTGTGAATCCAAGACTAAGACCAAAGCCATCTGCAAATGTTTTGCGAAATAAGAAAATGCTGAACATGTTTGGAAATGAAGTGTCGAAACCAGTAAGTGCTTTCAAATTTTCTTTCTTTGCATTTATAAATTGCTTAAATTCTGTGTGCCTCTGACAATAGAAACAAGTATATTTTTTCGCATTGGGAACCATAACCTGTTTTGGTTTAGCTACCCTCCTTTTTAATTTCTTTAATTTTGTTACATTTTCTTCTGGAATGTTTCTAAGAAGTAGCACAAGTCCTATATTTTCTGTATAATACCGAAGGGTCCATGTCCTATGCTGATTCTATGTCTCATAGTGAACCCCGTTGGAGTTTTGCCAGTTTCTCCTATTTGAGTGAATAGGTACTCATTTACTCTGAAATAGGTCACATATACCGTTAAAACTTCCCAATTATTTTTAGGTGCCAGAGCCTTGGAACTCGATACAAATTTTTCAAAGCACCATAGCACGTCAGAATAGTCTGTCTAGCCCAGATATAGGTTCAGCAGTGAATATAGGTAACTTTTAATGAAGCAATTCAACGGTTTCATACCACCTGTACTTCCAATAGAAACGAGCTTTTTCTGTATTTTAAAGTCGATTACTTTAAGTAAGAGATGAAGTTCTTGTCTTTGGTGCGCTCTTAAATTTCATATTTGAATTACTAACTTCTTGTTTTAGCACAAAGCAACGTAGTTCAGCAAGACGGATCTAATAATGTTTCTTCGCTTACTGACCCTCAGTACCTTGGTTTCAAAGACCTAGGTTTGTTCGCTAAAAAATGCTTTTATGTAGAAGTTCGTTTTTGCTTGATTAAAATTTGGTCTTTAGAGGACAACGAAGTGAAGAGTGGAAAATTAGGAAACGAAAACAGCGAACTTGTAAGTAAGGTGGAAGTTTCTAAAAATTCTGGAAATACATCGTTCTCACAGTCAGTGGCTCGTGACGCAGTGTCGATGCATTTGTCAGCTCCTCAGCTGTATCCGGATAGCAGTCGTGCAAACAGTAAGTTGCCGAGGATTTGAGTTGCTCAGTTCACTTTGAGAAGTGTTTAGATGAATTCATCTTTACCGTACCATCTTTATTTTTATTTTTATTTTTGGAATTCAGCACTCATTTTTCTTAATTATATGGAAAACTGAATTTTTATCTTTTTAGCTTTTCCAGTCGCATCGAACAGTAGGCCAAATGCTGTCGGCGGTTATCTGAGATCAAGTGCCTTCAAGTAAGATCATTTCTTCTAATGTTCATGTTATATCTCAATTTATGACGTTAAATTTAGGCCATATAGCGAAACCAGTGAGAAAATTCGCATTTCATCCAATCAAGTTGAAGAACTGGATAAAAATTTCTCAGAAGGAAATTATTTGTCTGAAAAAGGCGCTTTCGAGGTTTTGTAATTTTTTCCTTTCTTGTGAGGTATAGCATATTATTCCCCTGAGATAATTGGCCGTGGTAAATTTTAGGAAGATAAAGAGTTTCTGTAAACATTGCTGAAATTTTTTAGGCTGTCGGGGCTACGTCAAAGTGGAATCCGTTCATTGGAGCTCCATTCGATGGTGCATTGGATAGTTTTCTCAAAAAGAAGTGTAGTAAGGAATTTATCTACCGTAACTTTTCGGTTACAGATTTTCCATATATATATATATATA